TACGAGGCCATAAGATGAAAATGAGACAACTCGGAATGCGTGCACATATGCACGCAAACCGAGGACCGACCCTAAGGCACGAAATGCCACTCTAACAAGACATAGCAAAACATGGAATATGGCATACAAGCATGCAAATTTCAGCGCTAAAATATGACCCAAAACAGACTCGAATCATGGAAACATGGCACCCGATGCATGAACTGAACCCGAAACACAAAACTAGGCATATGCATTGGCCTATAACTATACAAAAAATGCATTATTTGAACATGAAATGTGAATACAGATTCGAGGCAGCCCCAAAACAAGCATGTTTACAGTTTTAAGCAAGGCCAAACAATGAACACAAATGGGGCTAAGCTAGCATGCAAAAATGGCCCTAAATGTGAGATAAAGAAGCAAGTCATGGCTGCTGGCCTCAAACAAGAGAGGGCCCTTTAACAATATTGGAGAGGGACCCAAAACATGGCATTTTACAGTTTATGATCAAACCCAAAACAGTTCTTAAGCATGCTCAAAATACTATGCAAAACAAGGCCAAAAAGAGAGCTATAACACAAAGTACAAAAAAGTGCCTCAAACAGTAAAAGACCCTTAATGAAACATTAAGAGGGGGTCAAAATAAGGGCATTTATAGTTCGGACCAGAGCCCAAAAACAGAAGCACAAGAGGCTAACAAATCATGCAAAAATGGAGCCAAAAGAGAGATACAAAGGCAAGTGGCAAATGGAAGCCTCAAACAGTGATGAGCCCTTCAACAATGTTGAATAAGGGCTCAAAATAAGCCACTTTACAGTTTATGACAGAGCTCAAAACAGTTTATACATAGGCCTAAAATACTATGTAAGGAAATGGCATAAAAGAAAGGTAAAGAAGCAAGTACCACAAGGAAGCCTCAAACAGTGAGATCCCCTTAAACAAAAAAGAAATAGAGCTAAAAAAAATGCTATTTTCAGTTAGGGTCGGAGCTCAAAAAAGTAAGCACAAGGAGCTAGAATATGAACCAAGAAAAGGGTCAAAAAGGGGAGAAGAGGACTTACCCTTGAAGACTAGTCTTTGATAGCCTTTTGGACCAAAATGCAACACTCCTAAGCTCTGAAGAACAACCTCAAGCTACTGGAATGGAGGATGGAAGGGTGGGGCTATGGGTTGGTGAAGAACCAAGGGGGTTTTTAAGGCTTAAAGTAGAGAGAGAGAGAGATTTAATATGAGAGCTCCAAACCAAAATTTTCTAACCCCTAAACCAGAGCTGGGAGGCTGGTTTTATAGGCAAAAGAGGGGGAGAAAAGGGGGGAAAATGGGGGGGGGAAAACAATTCAAGTTTTCCCCCAAAAAGTTGGCCCCCCAGATACAAAATCTGGGGGGAAAAGAGATGCATATTTGAACTATATCAGCAGCAAGGAGCAAGGCTGGCTGGTTATTGAGGTTGCAGGTGGCCGGCCGGCTACTTCCCATGGCCGACCGGCCAAGGGTCAAAAGGTTCAATGAGGATTAGTGGCCGGCCACCACATATTGGTGGCCTCCCATGTGTGCTCAACACAATCATGTGGTCAAACACTGGAGATATTGAAGAACAACCCATTTTCAATGGGGTTCAAAAGCAATTACTGGCCGGCCACCAAATATTGGTGGCCTTCCAGATGTGTACATCACAAATATGGGGTTTAGGGTGCAAGAAAATGGCCCAAGGGTGGTCAACATTGGCTTTGAAGTGAGAAAAAACGGGCGACGGAGGGCGATGAAGGGATAAAGTTGGCTGACAGAACAATTACTGGCCTCCCATCCCTCTATGACCTTCTTAGCAATGAAACAGAGGTCCCTGCCCAAAACGAACCAAAACCGATGCAAAATGAAGGTTCGGGGGCCGAAACGGGTAGCCCGGGGCCCCAAAAACTGACTGTTAGGCACCGAGAGTGGTGTCCGACCACGAAGTCGGTTTCTCAGACCACAGTGTCCCTCAAAAGAGATCAAATAAGATGTATGCCAAAAACCGGAGCGAACGGAGGTGGTTAAGCAGTCCCGATCCGAGGCACATGGCCAACGGCTCCGAAAAATCAGAAACCGGACTCCAAACGGGCAAAATGGCCTACGACCACGAAACGTAGCCTACAGCCACTGAGACATGATCTACGAGACCTCTCCCTCCCTTTGGGAAGAGAAAACAGAGAAAACGGAGCCTGGTTCGCAAACCGAGGAAAGACATGAAAGAGCCCAGAAGTCCGGAGGCAAGGCTCGCGACCGAGATTCTGAAACTTCTGAACGAGTACAATATGCACCATCATCGAGCGCTCAATCGGTGACGTCTGAGTCTTAAGGTCGGTCAAAAATGGGGTGTCTACACATCCAAGCGAGTTGGCACTACAAGAATTCGCACTTTTGCCGACTAAAAATTTGGTCGACAAAAGCCCATTTTTAGTCGGCAAAAGTTATCTGCGACTAATTTTTTTGATCGCCACTTTGGTCGCCAATTGAGGGTCGCGGAAAGTAATTAGCGACTAAAAAATTTTTTGGTTGCGAAAAAGTTATATTTGCCGACTAAATTTTTGGTCGCTAAATATATAATTACTGCGACTAATCCATTTAGTAGCTAAAACACTTTAGTCGCGAAAAGTCATATTTTCCCGACCAAACATTTTAGTCGCCAATTCGCACATTCAACGACCAAATAGTTTGGTCGGCATCTGTCGCCTATTTCTACGGCCTACTAATTTGGTTGCAAATTGTCACATTCCGCGACCAAAAAATTTGTTTGGCAATGCATTCCATGACTAAAAGATTGGTCGGCAATATTCACTACAAAAAAATTACACTTTTGCCGACTAAAAATTTGGTCGGCAAAAGTCCATTTTTAGTTGGCAAAAGTCATTCGCAACCAATTTTTTCGGTCGTCACTTTGGTCCCAATTGAGGGTCGGCAAAAGTAATTAGAAACCAAAACTTTTGTTAGTCAAAAAAAAATTGGATTTGCCGACTAAATCTTTGGTCGCTAAATATATCATTACTGCGACTAATCCATTTAGTCGTTAAAACACTTTAGTCGCGAAAAGTGACATGTTCCCGACCAAACATGTTAGTCGCTAATTGTCACATTCCACGACCAAAAAAATTGATCTCCAATTATCACATTCCATAACCAAAAAGTTTGGTCCCCAATTGTAACATTCCACGACCAAAAGGTTTGGTCCCCAATTGTGACATTCCACGACTAAAAAATTTGGTCGCCAATTGTGACGTTCTAGGACCTCTTAGTTTGGTCGCCAATTGTCACATTCCACGACCAAAAAGTTTGGTTACCAAAAGGAATGTTTGCACCAACATGCAACAAAATAAACCTGTAATTCATAATAATTTATCCAATCTATTCAATACAATCTATAATTTACAATAATCAATCAAACCAACAATTCACTTGAATCATGAACATTCAACAAAATATATAAATTATTAATTTTATTATACAATTTTGAAAGCCTATTCCACATTGGTGGCATTTTTCGCACTTATTTCCAAGGAAGGAATCCCAATTTCATCTGCAACTGCCTGCACAAAATAAAAACAAAGTCTCATTAAAATCCAGAGTCCCTGTATGAGTAATAGAGATCTACTATCAATGAACAAAAAAACAAGAAAGATGAGAGTTGTTAGCAAGAAAATAGTTTATAGGAAAACAGGGGACACCATGTTGAAGAAAACATCACAATAAATTTTGACTAAAAACAAAATTGTCATACAATTAACATTTAATTTCAAGAGTGTGAATTCTCTAGATTTCATTTCGAATAAAGCTATCCTTCAAATTTTTACAGAATTTAAGCATACTTTTATGCAAAATTTCCATCATACAGAAAAGAAATGTTTATATGGCATTCCTTATTTACACAGATTCCCAATCAAACACTAAATCAAAGCTAAAACTAAAATTTACAGCTTTCATAGGCAGAACAAACTAATAACGCACTTAAAACTTTCAATCTGGAGTTTAATGGTTTTCCCATCCTGCTCAACTGTGCGGATTTTCTGCAGAAGAGAAGATAATAATAATTTACGTCTTTACAATCTATGTTAAGGTAATCAGCAACCCAACCAAGGGAAATAAAAAAGATTGCTTACGAAGTCAACTCCAATAGTGCTAATGTAACTTTCCGGATATGAATCATCCTTATTACAAAAATAATAAAAATGGTTAATGAACTTGGCATCTGTCTGGAGGCCACTTTTGTCTAGAGACCAGAAAACATTGAAAAATAACACAATCACATCAAAACAACATGGCTAATTAAAGCAATCTTGAAAAAGAAAGAAGGAACATAAATGGAGGGGGAAAAGAAGAAGAATAAGCTGTGTAAAAGAGGGAGAACTCATAGAAAACCTCAAAAGGAGACATGATTTGCCAACACCCGAATCTCCAATGAGCAAAAGCTTAAACAGGTAGTCACTGCAAGTAAGGACAATATATATATATATATATATATTTGTATTAGTCTTGGACAAAGAATATGGAAAGAACTTTTTTTTGAATATTTGTATTAGTCTCCATTACTTCATTCATCTTCGACTCAAACTGCATTTGATACCGTTGAAGTTGCTCTTGAACTTGTTCCTGAACTTGAGTTTGGAAGAGACGATTCTGCTCTTGTGACCGCCTATATCCACCTCCAAAAACATCAGTGGGTGACGGTCCCAATCCAAACGTCCGAACACGACCAGGTCGCTCTGGGCCCATAACTTGTGTGAAGATTTGCTCCTGTAATGCTGCAGGGTCAGTAGAAGATCCCTCAATGTGCTCTGCTAACTAAAAATGGGACCAAATAAGGGATATAAGATCACACTTTGACAAAAAAAAAGATCTCACTTTTATTGGAAGTGTGATAAAAAAAAATTAGATTGATATTTTAATTACACTTAATTTGATTGAGTGTGATAATATTTATTTTTTATGTCACTTTTCAATTAAGTGTGATTATATATATATATTTTTAATCACACCTTCTAATTAAAGTGTGATTATATATATATTTTTTAATCACACATTTTAATTAAAGTGTGATTATATATACATTACTACTTTTTAATCACACTCCCTAAATAGGTGTGATTGTATAAAATATTTCAATTTGATTTTTATATAAAATATACAATTCCCAAATCCGCGCCTCTATTCTACCCATGAATGATAGAGATGACTCACTACTAGAAAATGAGGCTTTAGACACGGAACTTTTTCACCCATTTTTTCATCTTTCTATCTCTCTGTCTCTGTCTCTCTTCTCTCTCTCTCTCTCACTCTCACTCTCACTCTCACTCATCACTCTTCTCTGTCTGTCTGTCTGTCTCTCTCTCTCTCTTTCTCTCTGTCTATCTCTCTCATCTCTCTCTGTCTCTCTTCTCCATCTCTTTTCTCGTTATCTCTCTCGCTCATTTCTCTCTGTCTCTCTCTCGTTTATCTCTTTTCGCTCTTTTTTTCTCTCCCCCCCTCTTTGTCTATATCTTTTCACCGATTTTTTCATCTTCCTTATCTCTTCTCTTTCTCTCTCTCACTCATCACTCTTTTCTTTCTGTCTATTTGTCTCTCTCTCTCTCTCTCTTTGTGTCTCTCACTCATCTATCTCTTCTCTCATCTCTTTTCTCTCTCTGTCTCTTTCGTTCATCTCTCTTCTCTCTATCTCTCTCATATTTCTCTGTCTCTCTCGCTCATCTCTCTTCTCTCTCTCTCTCTCTCTCGTTGATCTCTCTTTTCTCTATGTCTCTCTCGCTCATCTCTCTTCTCTCTATCTCTCTCTCTTTCATCTCTCTTCTCTCTCTATCTTTTTTCTGTCTCTCACTCTCTATCTTTTTGTCCCTCTCTCTCTTCTCTTTCTCTCTCTCTTGCTCATCACTCTGTCTTTGTCTCTCTCTCTCTCTCTCTCTCTCTCTCTCTCTCTTTCTCTCCTCTATCTGTCTCTCACTCATTTTTCTCTCTCTCACCACCCATCTCCTTTACCACCTTCACCACTACTGCAAACGCCATTCCACTACCACCATTACTACCACTGTCGCCACTTCACCTCTACGACTACCATTGCTACTACCATTGCCACCACTACCACTACTGCCACTATTACTACCATTACCTCTCATTCACCCTTGCCACTTCATCTACTCTACCACTACCACAACTTCACCACTAATCTCCTTCGCCACCACCACCACCACCACCACCACCACCACCACCACCACCACCACCACCACCACCACCACCACCACCACCACCACCACCACCACCACCACCACCACCACCACCACCACCACCACCACCACCACCACCACCACCACCACCACCACCACCACCACCACCACCACCACCACCACCACCACCACCACCACCACCACCACCACCACCACCACCACCACCACCACCACCACCACCACCACCACCACCACCACCACCACCACCACCACCACCACCACCAAAAAAAAAAAAATCATTAATTACAAAAAACTATATATTTTAACAAAAAATATTTTTTTTTGACGACGGCAACTCCCGTCGCAAAAAAAAAGAAAGAAAGTTAAACGACATTATTTTGTTATTTAAATTTCATTTCTGACAAAAAAAAAATTATTTTTTATTCCCGCCTGTTTTTGTTTTCCATTCCCGCTCTATTCTCTCTCTCTATCTCTTCTATCTGTCTTTCATTCATCTCTCTCTCTTTCACCACCCATCTCCTCTACCACCTTCACCACTACTGCAAACGTCATTCCACCGCCACCACTACTTCCACTGTCGCCACTTCACCTCTACGACTACCATTACTACTACCATCGCCACCACTCCACTACCACCACTACCACTACTACCACTACTACTACCATTACCTCTCCTTCACCCCTGCCACTCCATCTACACTACCACTACCACAACTTCACCACTAATATTTTTTCCCATCACCACCACCACCACCACCATCATCTCTTATCCACCACCTCCACCACTAATGTTGCTCCCTTTCCTCTACCACAAAAAAATAGTTCAAGATTTTTACGAACCAAAAAAAATAGGTTGTAGAAAAATATTTTTCATTGACCACAGAAAATAAACTTTTATTTTTGTGGAAAATATTTTTCATTAAAATATTACCCCTACTTCTGCCAAATAAAAAAT